TTCATTAAATATGTGAATTTTTGCAGGTTGGTAATGATTTCTTTGGGGAATAAAATATTGGAAATAAAATCATTTCTATCTGTTTGATATCGTGGGCAAACTAAAAGAAAGTGTAATCGTCTTCGATCTCCTGTAATGGGCATTGTTTACAAATTCTATTTTCTAATGGTGTTTTTGGATTGGTATGTCTGCCTTTTTCAATGGCTAGATTGTGACTACTTGTCCTGAATCTAGCCATTGATATTCTTTGATTATTATCCAAAACATTAATGTAATTTTCCAGATTGTAATTAATTTTAAATTTAATGTATGTTCTCAGTTTTTTTTTCTTTTGTCATATTCTCTCTCCAGTATGTTATATATTGTTGTTTAATAGTGCTGCTAATTTCCTTAATATTTTGATGTGATAGCTGTGATGTTTTAGAGAGGTCTACATCTTATGAAGTATGAACAACTGACATGATTACAAAATTCAATGTCAATGTGTTCAGCAATTATACATACATAACCAATAATAATATAAACTTGTTAAAAATGCGTCTGGTGCGTCTGTCGATGTAATCTTTAAAAATATTTATTTTTAAAAATCAATATCAAAACTTACAGACTGCAAATTAAACTAGACTTGGAAAGGCATATAATTGTCGAAATACAAGAGAGTGAATAAACATTTCTGAACTGATCATCTCGGCAAATTGAATTCAAGAACACTATAATGACGTACGAATTATTGGCAAATAAATATACCTCACCCGGAAGATTTACCGCCTTGTCCATGTCTACGAAATTACGTTTTTTTTTTTTAATTTAAATTGAATTATTACGAAAATAAAAACAATTGATTACAGCTTACGAAAATACCCCTTGTAAAAATAATTTAAGATACTGGTCACGAAATAGATTAGGCTAGACTAGAACATTTAATCTTTGAGCGAGTATTTCACCCAAACATTTCCTTGGCCAGCTATAGTAATTCTTTTATTTAGTGGTCAGTGACCCTAAATGAATATTTCGCACAATAAATACGATAGAGGGCGCTATATTATCAGACTCTTTGTTAAAATCCAAAATGGCTGCTTAATCTTTCATCGGTAATCTTATTTCTACCCTCCGCATGATTCCTTGTCTCTGCTACATTCCCAGTGGGTAAACTTTCTCGCCGTAACAGGTAATATTGACTGCAAATTTAATGATAAACTTTGACGGCACCATAAGCATGTCCATCATTTTTTTTTATCCACAATTGTGTCGCTGTCAGTCAGTGTTGGTTTCATTATCATAAATATCGTTTGGCACAGGTATCATATCTCAAACAACTTTATTCGTATTCTTTGCCTAAAACGAAAGAAACGTGGTGACAAGTCGTGTAACGGATGGAATCGTAACTCGCAAAAATAAATAAACTTTGACTGCATGTCTAGCCATGGGTCATTCCAGTTTATGTCCACCCCCCCCCCTACGGATGGTTTAAATCCGAGGGGTCATATTTCTACAAAAAGTATGGATGGTTCAATTCCGAGAAGTATCATATTTTTGATATATTTAATTTTTTCACATACTCATCCGTATACGTCAAATTAGTAAAGTTTCCAGGGTGTTAGTTTACAAAAATCCGACACCTGAATAGTGGTTTTGAATCCATAGGGTGTCATAACCTTAATAATATCCATCCGTGGGGGGGGGGGGGCTGAAATGACCCCCATCTAGCCTGTCCACTGCGTATGCCTTTCACAAATGGGGATTGTCTGAGTGTAATTTGTAAAACCGTAAATTTGGCTGGTTTATATTATTTTCCTATCTAGATTTGATTTTCTCTGATCTAGACTATGATTCACGGACATTATCCCCACACGAATAAAACTAGTTGCTAACGAAGTTAAAGGGCGAAGGTTGTCGCGCAAGCGCGTCTTTGATTTTGTTTACAGTCGTTGTGTATATCACTATTGAACATATCCTTATTAATAACCTTATTAATATCCATCCCCGGGGGGGGGGGGGGGACTGTAATGACCCCACTTAGCCTGTCCACTGCGTATGTCTTTCACAAATTGGGATTGTCTGAGTGTAATTTGTAAAACCGTAAATTTGGTTGGTTTATTTTATTGCCTATCTAGATTTGATTTTCTCTGATCTAGACTATGATTCACGGACATTATCCGCAGTGGGTGTTCGATTTTTTTACAGTCATTGTGTACGTCACTATGAGCCCCATATCGAACAGGAAGTGCGCGACGACCACCGCCCTTTAAAAAATGATATTCTTATACAATGAACCCATTCCATTTATTTTATAAATATTTATGCAGTTCAAGAACCCAATCAATAAACAAACGCAGTATGCAATAATGTCATTTGAAAACCATTCAATGATTGATTATGTTATTCCATCGGCAAATAGAACCCCCTCAATTCAATTTGAATTGTGAAATTTATAGAAATGAAGGTTTGTTGCGTCATAATGACAATATGCTGTAGAAACCTGTACGGTACCATAGTTTGTAACTACCTTGTAACCTGCTCTTGACTTTCATTCAAATTCAAATACTAAACTTTTGTGATTGGCTCTAGGGCTCAAAGCGAGAAAGTCGTCACCCGCGCACGCACGAGAATTGAGTCCCAAGCGACTATAACAACGCACGCTAAAAACGCAAAGGCTCATGGGTAGACACTTGTTTGTAAATACTGACACGCTATGGCCATCTGACGCATGCGCAGGTGACGACTCCCCCGCTTTATCATACTGCAGATACATGCCTTGAATACTATAGAAATGTCAGGAACAGAAATCTAGTCAAGAAGAAGGCAACACAAATTGCAACATAAGTTTTTTCACTGTTTTTGATCATATCCATTAATACTTAAATTACAAGTAGAGAAAAATCAAAGTATATATTTTTCAGTTATTAAAATTCATTAAATTATCTGAAAAATGGACCCATGGTCTACACAGAGTCACCATTTACCCCTATAGTCTAGCAAGTTTTGTATTTGCAGGTTGTCCATGATGTCCTCAAGGCTGTTAATGGGGTAAAAAATTGCTAATTTGCATATTTTGTTTGGTATTTTGCCTTTCATTTTGATAGAGTGTGCGGCCGGGAAATAAAACCCCAGACCCCATCATTGACCATTTTCACCTCAAAAACCATACCCCATTATAGACCAAATAGTGATACTGTATATCCCATCAGAGTCCAAATTGTCACTAAATTTATTCAGTTATAAGTTACATCTACTCATCACCCGGACTCATCAATAAAAGTATTAAAACTCTGGTAAATACATGGAAATTAAAAAAAAAGAACCCATCCCCGGCCCCATCCTACGCAGGCAAACCTTACATTGAATCTAAAGCCAAGCTACCCCATTCTACAGCAAACAGCTAAAAATTATGACCCCAATGGGCGGCATGTCCTCATTAGGTGATTTGCATTAAGTGACCTCCCGGGACCCAACACAACCTAATCATATTTCAAAAATAAATTTATTTTTAATCAGAATACTACTCTGAAAACAGATTTAAAAATCATATGTTTTGTTATTAAAATATGCATATTAATATGTACACGTCATAATTCCATACCTGCGTTTTGTTGGAATGAAAAATAGTATATAGATAGGTAGCTAAAAAAAGAATAATACCTGCAAAGACTCCAGGTTAATGGGCATTACCAAATGGTTTCTACAGCCAATGAGATACACAAACTAGCAATGAAGCACGGAAAATGTTTCAGAATTACTGTTTTATAAATATTTATAATTGTGCACAAAACAATTCACCTCTTTATGGAAACCCAGTGTGTTGTGTTAATAAATTAAATAATTAAACAGCAGTTTAAAGTAATTCATAAAAAAAAATTTAAAATAAAAATAATGATACTCAACACCATTTTTCTCAAATCTTTAATTATATTCTAGATTTGAATTGAAAATTTGAATAGCTTTCATTTGGTATATTACATGATGTGTATTTTGTGGGTTGCATTAGGCCAAAAAAAAATTGTTTTGTTGCCCTCAGCGACCGATCAAAAAATATGAAATATCAGGTCGCGTTTTTTCCCCATATACCTCGGCTATTTACGATACCCTTAGTTTTCACGAGTTAAAAAAAAAAAATAAGACCGACCGATCCAATTTTTCAATTTTCCGATTTGGGGGCAACATAAGTTGTTGTTTTTTTGGCCTTATTTTTTCAAATACTGTAAAATACCTTATTTCATTTTGGAGTGTTTTTGATGAAATTTATTTTCATTTTTTAACAAGTTGAATGTAAAATATAGGAAAAAAATATATTTATTGGATTTTATTTTCACTGAATAATCCATTCAGCAATTATAGCGAAATCCAAGCAAAAAATAAATCTCTCTAGGTATCAGCCATCTAAAAATTTTCAATGTTAACAAAATTTCTCCATCACAAGACATCATAAGAGACCTTAAAATACTGCTGGGTTGTGGGAAGGGAAACAATGGTAACCATAAGTACCCCATGGTGTATAAACTTTTCAAATTTTTGGTTAATTGTCATAAATATCCATTAAAGTTAAATAAATATCATATCCTTTTATATTTCTCTAGTTTTTGTGTATTACCAAGATGTGTTTCACTTTTACAAAACAGCTCAAATATCTTTTTGGCTCATATTTTCATAATTTGACTGGACTACTGCATACTTATTCAAATTAAAGAATTTACTAATTGTTAAACTAACACATAATTATTAAATTAATTAAACTCACTGGATTGGTCAATTGGAATTGCATTTTGTATTTATAAGATCCACGGTTGGGATATGTTTGACGAAAATTTTCAATAAGTAAATTTTAGATCACTAATCAATTACTGAGAATGAAAAGAATAACTCCCTTTATGATAGCAAATATGAATTTCATATTAAGCTGCTATGATTTACGTGTAATACTTTCATAGTTCATATGCTACTCCCATAGTAAGTGTTCTACTTCCATGGTGCATTGTGATTCTCCCATGATGCATTGCAACATTCCCATGATTGCATTGTTATACTCCCATGGTGCATTGCAACATTCCCATGGTTGCATAGAGATACTCTCATGGTTCATATGCTACTCCCATAGTAAGTATTCTACTCCCATGGTGCATTGTGAGTTCCCCATGATGCATTGCAACACTCGTGGTGCATATTACACTCCCACGGTGCATTGCAACACTCCCATGGTGCATAGTGATACTCCCTATATGTGCTGAACTGCAAGTCACTATAATAAATAAATTATTACTACTACTACTCCTTCAATTTTATATTTAAAAAACTTTAATAGTCGATTCCTTTCTGTCATTCACTGCACATTTATCTGCTATGATGAATAAATATAATATTTTGTAATCTAGACATATTTGGCATCGGCCGTTTCAGAAGTAATTGTGTGTTTCCGGTAACACAGCCATGTCTAGGTTTGTCTTTGTGTTATTGTGAACTAGAAAGTGGTGCAACTGTTTACATCTATTTCTAGCTGCATTTATGCTATAAATATCAACCATAATATATTATGAACACAAACCATTGTCATGTATGAACAAGAATCATCCCATCAGAATCATGTTGGTAACAATTATTAAGATACACCTGTAGTGCATATGTTACACAATAGTGCATTGCGATACTCCCATGGTGCATTGCAACACTCCCATGGTTCATATGCAACTCTCATATCAAGTATTCTACTCCCATGGTGCATTGTGATACTCCCATGGTGCATTGCAACAATCCCATAGTTCATATGCAACTCTTATAGTAAGTATTCTACTTCCACGGTGCATTGTGATACTCCCATGGTGCATTGCAACACTCCCATGGTTCATATGCAACTCTCATATCAAGTATTCTACTCCCATGGTGCATTGTGATACTCCCATGGTGCATTGCAACAATCCCATAGTTCATATGCAACTCTCATAGTAAGTATTCTACTTCCATGGTGCATTGTGATACTCCCATGGTGCATTGCAACAATCCCATGGTTCATATGCA